GGCTCATGCCTGTAATCCCATCACTTTGGGAGGCCGAGGCAGGCGGATCACGAGGTCAAGAGTTAGAGACCATCCCACCTAACATGATGAAACTCTGTCTCTACTAAAAATACAAAAATTAGCTGGGCATAGTGGCATGCAGCTGTGATCCCAGCTACTCGGGAAGCTGAGTTAGGAGAATTGCTTGAACCTGGGAGGCAGAAGTTGCAGTGAGCTGAGATTGCACCACTACACTCCGGCCTGGGTGACAGAGTGAGATTTCATCTCAAAAAAAAAAAAAAAAATTACCTGGGTGTGGTGGTGCATGCCTGTAATCCCAGCTACACAGAAGGCTGAGAAATGAGAATCACTTGAACCCGGGCAGCAGAGGTTGCAGTGAGCTGTGATAGGGCCACTGTAGTCCAGTCTGGGTGACAGAGTGAGACTCCATCACAATTAAAAAAAGAAAGAAAGAAAAAGAAACACCAAATGGCTGGGCACAGTGGCTCACACCTATAATCCCAGCACTCACTTTGAGAGGCTGAAGCAGGCAGATTGCTTGACATCAGGAGTTTGAGACCAGCTTGGGAAATATGGCGAAACCCGGTCTCTATTTAAAAAATACAAAAGTTAGCCAGGCATGACGGCACATGCCTATAGTCCTAGCTACTAGGGAGGCTGAGAGATGGGAGAATCTCTTGACCCGAGGAGGTCAAGAATACAGTGAGCCATGATCACACCACTGCACTTTAGCCCCAGTGACAGAGCAAGACTCTGCCTCTAAAAAAAAAAAAACAACAAAAAAAAATCAAATGACTAAAAGCACACTAGCCAATGACAGAGGCAAAACTTGAACCCAGGTGTTTTCAAGACTATATATTAAATAAACTGCCCCTTTTTTGGCCTCCACATTTCCAAGTGGAAGATTGAAGAGAGGGCCTGGAAATCTCTAAGAGAACTTTCCTGGTCTTCACATCACTATTAATAGAAGCAAAGAGGAGCGCCCAGAACTCCAAATACTCTATGCAAAGTCCGCCCCATTCCTTCCCCCCAACACACAGGTTAAGGTTCCATCATCAGGACTAGTTTCATTCTGTCCCTTCTCCCTGTTTATATTAGACACCTCAAGGAACCCAGGAGTCCTGGGTCATGCCTCATGCCCTGGATAGTAATCCCCATATAGTTCTATGGGCAGCGATGCACCCTCCACCCTGCTGTTATCTGTGTCCCCATAACACCCTCTTATCACTATCTGATCTGACATTTACTTTTTTTTTTTTGAGATGGAGTTTCGATCTTGTTGCCTAGGCTATAGTGCAGTGGCACAATTTCGGCTCACTGCAACCTCCGCCTCCCGGTTCAAGCCATTCTCCTGCCTCAGCCTCCAGAGTAGCTGGGATTATAGGCATGCACCACCACGACCGGCTAATTTTTGTGGGGTTTCACCATGTTGGCCAGGCTGGTCTCGAACTCCTGATCTCAGGTGATCCACCTGTCTTGGTCTCCCAAAGTGCTGGGATTACAGGCGTGAGCCACTGTGCCTGGCCGACATTCAGTATTTTTTAACGTGTTTATCTGGCTCTACCCAGTGAAATCTAAGTTTTGTTTTGTTTTTAGAAATAGAGACAGGATCTCTCTATGTTGCCCAGGTTGGTCTCAAACTCCTGGGCTCAGGGGATCCTCCTGCCTCAGCCTACCAAAGTGCTAGGATTGCAGGTGTGAACCAGCACACACCTGGCCAAAGCTTTTTGAGGCAAGATTTTGTTCATCACTGCATTGACAAGCACGTAGAACAGTGCCTGACATAAAGTAGGCACTTGTATATATTTGTTGAATGAATGAAGAGTAAATGAGTGTTTCTTCCTCTCACACAGGTATGCAAAGGAAAAGAGTACAGTGCCTTCCAATTCTTATTGAATATGTCCAGCAAAGCGTACTGTATTATTACCCTCTTGCGTTTCTAGAGATTATCCTACAGCAACCAACTAAGGTTGCTGTGAGAAACTCTAACTTTGTGAGCCATTGCCTACAGACAGAGCTATTGGTCCCTAGAGGAATGAGGTTAGTTACTTCTGGGAAAGTATATTTCGTGTCCCAACATTTATTCAATCAGCCAGGAAACATTTCCTGAGTGCCTAATTTGGGCCAGACACTGTTCTAGGGACCGAGGATCAAGTAGTGAAAAAAGCAGATACCATCACTGCCTTCAAAAAGCTTAGTCTTCATTAGGGCATGATAAACATTGTGGTGAAAAAGAAAGCTGGGTAAGGGATTATAGAGTGTTGAGAAGTGTTGCTAAGGGTGGTTTCTTTTGTTTATTTTTTATTTCAGTAGTTTTGGGGGTAAAGGTGGTTTTTGGTTACATGGGTAAGTTATTTAGTGGTGATTTCTGGGATTTTGGTGCACCCATCACCTGAGCAGAGTACACTGTACCCAATGTGTAGTCTTCTGTCCCTTGTCCCTCTTCTACCTTTCCCTTGGGTCCCTAAAGTCCATTATATCATTCTTATGCCTTTGCATCCTCATAGCTTAGCTCCCACTTATAAGTGAGAACGTACAATATTTGGTTTTCCATTCCTGACTCACTTCACTTAGAATAATGGCCTCCTCCCAGGCACAATGCCTCACGCCTATAATCCCAGCACTTTGGGAGGCTGAGGTGGGTGGATCACTTGAAGCCATGAGTTCGAGACTGGCCTCCTGGTGAACCAGGAATAAGGTGAAACCCCGTCTCTACTAAAAAATCCAAAAAAAAAAAAAAAAAAACATGAAAAAAAACAATTAGCCGGGTGAGGTGGTGGGCGCCTGTAATCCCAGCTACTTGGGAGGCTGAAGCATTTGAACCTGGGAAGCGGAGGTTGCAGTGAGCTGAGATCACGCCAGTGCACTTCAGCCTGGGTGACAGAGAGACTCAGCTTTCACAGAATTGAAGAGAGTTAGGGCCTGGCTCTGGATTAGGCTTTGGCTTAAAGAAATTTTGTGGCTGCGTTGATCTGTTCAGACCACTCAAACTTTCCCTATTGGCAATAGGCTGTTTTGTTTTCTTATCATTTGTGTGTTTCCAAGAGTTTTTTCTTTGCATTCATAATTTGGATGAATGATTGGCACAAGAGGCCTGGCTTTTGGCCTGTCTTGGCTTTTGTCATGCCTTCCTCACTAAGCTTAATCACTTCTAGCTTTTGATTTAAAGTGAAATGTAATACTTTGTCCTTTCACCTCAGGTGATTCACCCACCTCGGCCTCCCAAAATGCTGGGATTATAGGCATGAGCCACCTTGCCCAGCCCAAGAGTTATTTTTGAATAAAAAAACACATGACTGTTACAGATTAACTCTAAACATAGTGGATAATCTCAGCTTTCTACACCACACTGTGTCACACTCTACTTCCTAAGAGCACTGGGCAAATGTAAAGTTACAGCCACATGAAAGAAGTGAAATCTCAAATGTGGTAATTCTTTTGTTTCTAATCAAATTAATAATTTGTTGGTTGTATTAGATATGATTACACACCCCATTCTCTTTTTTTCAAATAAATGAGAAAATGCTGTCAGCTGCCTGCCTAGACTAAGAAACAAGTATTCACAATGAAGGTATTTATCAGTTGCTCTTCCTCCTCATATAAAATAATAACACCATCACCACCATACCATCCCCTGCCCCCATCAAACTTCCTCAATTTTTTTTTTATTCTTGAGACAGAGTCTTGTTTTGTCGCCCAGGCTGGAGTGCACTGGAGTGATCTCGGCTCACTGCAACCTCCGCCTCCAGAATTCAAGCAATTCTCCTGCCTCAGACTCACAAGTCTGGGACTACAGGTGCATGCCACCATGCCCGGCCAATGTTTGCATCTTTAGTAGACACAGAGTTTCACCATGTTGGCCAGGCTGGTCTCAAACTCCTGACCTCAGGTGATCCGCCTGCCTTGGCCTCCCTAAGTGCTGCGATTACAGGCACAGGCCACACCATGTCCAGCCCCTCCACATCTTATTAGGGCTTTTTATGTGATGTTTGGTCATCAAAAGGATTTCCATTGCACCTCAGTTTTGCATATGAAATGTTTATAAAGGCCAGAGAAACTGATGAGATGGTAGGTCTCTGAAGTTTTTGTGGTCTATTGTAATTATTGTAACAATTCTTCTCAAAATGTGGTTCTCAGGTGATTGGCATCAGCATCACCTTAGTCTTCTGAGAATGCAGATTTCCAGGCACTTCCCTACAGCCTACTGAATGAGACAGCCTGCAGCTGGGGCCTGGGATTCTGTATGCATAAAAAAATGAGTCTCGGGCCGGGCGCGGTGGCTCAAGCCTGTAATCCCAGCACTTTGGGAGGCCGAGGCGGGTGGATCACGAGGTCAAGAGATCGAGACCATCCTGGTCAACATGGTGAAACCCCGTCTCTACTAAAACTACAAAAAAATGAGCTGGGCATGGTGGCACGTGCCTGTAATCCCAGCTACTCAGGAGGCTGAGGCAGGAGAATTTCCTGAGTCCAGGAGGCGGAGGTTGCGGTGAGCCGAGCTCCCCCCCTGCCCCCCCAGCCTGGGAAAAAGAGACAAAACCCCCCCCCCCCAAAAAAAAAAAAAAAAGAGTCTCTGTTCTGTAATAGATCTTACAATCCACCAGCCTAGTTGAATGACCGTTTTACTTTTAAACAGATTGCCTTTATGACATACCAGGGCAATACTCAGGGACGTCTTTCAGCCCCAGAGATTATTCCTCAGAATTCTTAGGAATACCTACAAATCCTGCCTATCAATTGGTTAAGAATCCTATCATAGGCTGGGCCTGGTGGCTCATGCCTGTAATCCCAGCACTTTGGGAGGCTGAGATGGGTGGATCACCTGGGGTCAGAAGTTTGAGACCAGCATGGCTGACCAACAAGGTGAAAACCTGTCTCTACTAAAAAATACAAAAAAAATAGCTGGCTGTGGTGGGCACCTGCAATCCCAGCTACCTGGGAGGCTGAGGCAGGAGACTAGCCTGAACCTGGGAGGATGAGGTGGCAGTGAGCTGAGATCATGCCATTGCACTCCAGCCTGCGTGACAAGAGCGGAACTCCATCTGAAAACAAAAACCTTATCATAACATCTTACTTTTTGGTGGAAAGTGCTTCCTCTCCACATGAGCAAGGAGACTCAGCTTGACCCAGGAGCTCCTGCCGCTTTCAGGAACAGGCTCTTTGGCTGTGGTATGAGTAGAGGACTGATAAGCACCCGGGAAGTGCCTCTTTTGAGCTCTCAGTAAGCTGACTTCATTGCTTCGTTCCACCAAGCAGTTGGATTCACGCTTTCTGTTTATCTCCTCCAGGAGACGTTGTTTGCTTACTCCATGTTTTTTAATTATTTCACTGATTTTGTTTGTAGATGCCATTATGCTCACAAACCAATCGTCAAGTGATTCTTGGTGTCCTACAAGCAAATGAAAAAATACTATCAATTGTCTTTTTGACTTAGAAGCCAGTATTCACAATCACGTTTATCAGTTTCTTGTTTTTCCTTCCATAAAATAGCACTACCACCACCACACCTCCCACCCCACCTCACTTTTTTATTTATTTATTTATTTAGACAGCGTTTTGCTCTGTCACCCAGGCTAGAGTGCAATGGTGTGATCTCGGCTCACTGCAACCTCTACCTTCCCAGTTCAAGTGATTCTCGTGCCTCAGCCTCCTGAGTAGCTGGAATTGCAGGTGTGCACCACCATGCCTGGCTTTTTGTATTTTTAGTAGAGACGGGGTTTTGTCATGTTGGCCAGGCTGGTCTCAAACTCCTGGCTTGAGGTGATCTGCCCACCTCAGTCTTCCGAAATGCCGGGATTACAGGTGTGAGCTACCGTGCCTGGAGAGCACACCTCACTGTTTTATTATTATTAACCCAGCACTTTGGGAGGCCAAGGCAGGCAGATCATGAAGCCAGGAGTTCAAGACCAAACCAGCCTGGCCAACTTAGTGAAACTCCATCTCTACTAAACAAAAAATTAGCTGAGTGTGGTGGTGGGCACCTGTAATCCAGCTACTCGGGAAGCTAAGGCAGGAGAATCGCTTGAGCCCAGGAGGCAGAGGCTGCAGTGAGGTGAGATCAGGCCATTGTACTCCAGCTCAGGTGACAGTGTGAGACTCTGTCTCAAAAAAAAAAAAAAAAAAAGGGGTGGCCAGGTGCAGTGGCTCACGCCTATAATCCCACACTTTGGAAAGCCGAGATGAGAGGATCACTTAAGCCTGCAAGGCAAAGGTTGCAGTGAGCTGAGATTGTGCCATTGCACTACAGCCTGGGTGACAGAGCAAGATTTGTAAAGATTGAGAAATATTCAGAACCGATAAATGATACAGTGATAAAGTCAACAGTCTCAAGAAGCTCAAACAATACCAGTCAGGATGTTTTTAAAAGCCCACTCTGAGATTACAGTGAACTAAAAAGAAAATCTTAAAAGCAACCAGAGAATCAAAGGAGGGACAATTGGACCAACAGCTGACTCTTCAACAAGCAATAACAGAAGCCAGCAGACAAAGAAATGGGGTCGGGCATAGTGGCTCATACTTGTAATCCCAGCACTTTGGGAGGCTGAGGCAGGTGGGTTACCTGAGGTCAGGAGTTTGAGATCAGCCTGGCCAACATAGCAAAAACTCATCTTTACTAAAAATACAGCAACAAAATAACTGGGCATGGTGGTGTGTGCTTTTAATCCCAGCTACTCAAGAGGGTAAGGCAGCAGAATCGTTTGAACCTGAGAAGCAGAGGTTAAAGTGAGCCAAGATCATGCCACTGCACTCCAGCCTGGGTGACATAACAAGATTTTGTCTCAAAAAATAAAAAAAAATACAAAATACATTCAGCATCATCAGTCACTAGGAAAGTGTAAATAAATACTACAATGAGGTACCACTACATATCACTAGAGTGGTTGAAATGAAAAAGACTGACCAAACTATCTTTGTGTTAGCAAAGACATGGAGAAACTGGAACTCTCATGTGCTCCTAGTGAGAATGTAAAGTTGTACAATATCTTTGGAAAATAATCATGCAGCTTCTTAAAAAGTTAAACATATTCCTATCACATGATCCATTTCTAGATATTTATTCTCCACATACATGCATAAAGAAATATATCTGTACACATGAAAACTAACACATAAATGTTCATCAGAGCTTAAAAAAATTTTTTTACACGGCTTTAGTTTTATTTAAGTATTTTTGAGACAGACAAGAGTGAAATGGCATGACCATGGCTCACTGCACCCTCGACCTCCCAGGCTCAAGCCACTTTCCCACCTCAGCCTCCTGAGTAGCTGGGACTACAGGTGCAGGCCAAAGCAACTGGCTATTTTTGTTTTTATTTTTTGTAGAGATGAGGTCTCATTATGTTCCTAAGGCTGGTCTTAAACTCCTGGGGCTCAAGGGATCCCCCTGCCTTGGCTCCCAGAGTGCTGAGATTACAGGTGTGAGCAAAGCCACCAGGCCCAGCCCACAGCTTTATTTTTATGAGCTGAAAAGTTCTAACAACCCAAACGTCCATCACCTGCAGAATAAACAAATAAATTATGGTAATTGTACACAATAGACACTGAGTTATAAAATATATTTTTATATATATTATATGTATATAATATATTTATATAATATAGATATATTTCTTTTACCTGAAATGCTAATTCATCAGTATATATATTTGAGCAGTGTTCACATATTGTTGATAAACACAATGACATGGCTGAATCTCAAAATAACTATGCTGAGTTAAAAAAAAAACAACAAAAAACGGCCAAATGAGAATGTACAGTGTATGATTCCATGCATATAAAACTCTAGGAAATACTAGGCTGGGCATGGTCACACATGCCTGTACTCCCAGCACTTTGGAAAGCTGAGGAAGGAGGACTGCTTGAGCTCAGGAGTTCAAGACCAGCCTGAGCAACATAATGAGACCTTGTCTCTACAAAAAAAATTCAAGAACTTAGGTGTGGTGGCGCCTGCCTGTAATTCCAGCTACTCAACAGGCTGAGGTGGGAGGATGGCTTGAGCCCAGGAGGTGGAGGTTGCAGTGAGCTGTGATCACAAAACTGCACTCCAGCTTGGGCAACAGAGCAAGTCCCTGTGTCGGGAAAAAAAAAAAGCTAGGAAATATGAAGTCCCCTACAGTGACAAATGAAAATCAACGGCTGCTTGGGAATGGGGAAAGGCAGGCAGCAAGGGTGACAGGCAGGGATATGAATAAACTTTTGGGGCTGATGGATATGTTTATTATCTTAATTGTGGTGAAGATTTCCTGGGTGTATGCATATGTCAAAAACATCAAACTGTACATTTTAACCATGGGCAGTTTATTGTATGTCAATGACCACTCAATAAAGCTCTTACATAAAATTTGGCTGAGTACCTAGCACATTGCCTAATGAATATTAGGTGGTTGATAAATATTTGAATGAATGAGAAAATAGTATATTACTTACAAGCCTTGATTTTCTTTCACTTTAATGTTGTTATTGTGAGAATATTTCATGTATTTACGTGGGTCATTAGTAACAAAAATGTAATATTTGATAATGTAATAGTCTAACATGTGGATTTATAGTTTTTTTCTCTTTTAAAATTTAATTTTAATTTTAAATTCTTTTGTTTTTGTTTTTTTGAGGCAGAGTCTCTCTCTGTCACCAGGCTGAAGTGCAGTGGCGCCATCTCGGCTCACTGCAACCTTCGCCTCCCATGTTCAAGTGATTCTCCTGCCTCAGCCTCCCAAGTAGCTGGGACTACAGGCGAGTGCCACCACACTCAGCTAATTTTTGTATTTTTAGTAGAGATGGGGTTTCACCATGTTGGCCAGGATGGTCTCGATCTCTTAACCTCGTGGTCCACCTGCCTTGGCCTCCCAAAGTGCTGGGATTACCGGTATGAGCCACTGCACTCGGTCTTTTAAATTATTTTGGAGTGGGAGACACCACCTACCTTCCTTCCTTCCTTCCTTCCTTCCTTCCTTCCTTCCTTCCTTCCTTCCTTCCTTCCTTCCTCTCTCTCTCTCTTTCTTTCTTTCTTTCTTTCTTTTTGAGAAAGAGTCTCAGTCATTCAGGCTGGAGTGCAGTGTCACCATCTTGGCTCACTGCAACCTCCCGCCTCCTAGGTTCAAGCAATTCTCTGCCTCAGCCTCCCAAGCAGCTGGGATTACAGGCACCTGCCACCACGCGAGGCTATTTTTTTGTATTTTTAGTAGAGATGGGGTTTCACCATCTTGGCCAGGCTGGTCTTGAACTCCTGACCTCGTGATCTACCCGCCTCGGCCTCCCAAAGTGCTAGGATTACAGGCATAAGCCTCTGTGCCTGGCCCCACCTTTTCTTTTTGTTTGTTTCTTTTGAGATGGGGTCTCATTTTGTCACCCAGACAGAATCCAGTGGCATGATCTTGGGTCACTGCAACCTCTGCCTCCTGAGCTCAAGTGATCCTCCAAACTTCAGTCTCTGGAGTGGCTGGGACCACCACAGGCATGCACCACCATGCCCAGCTAATTTTTTTGTATATTTGGTAGAGACAGGGTTTCACCATGTTGCCCAGCCTGGGCTGAAACTCCTGAGTTCAAGCGATCTACCCACCTCAGGTTTCCAAAGTGCTGGGATTACAGGTGTGAGCCACCGAGCCTGACATTAATTATTCTTTTTATTGCTAGACTTTAGATTGTTTTTGCTTTATTTTTATAATAACACTTTGAAACACATTGAAGTGACAAAAATCACGCAAACATACATTCTTTTAGGAAAGCTACCGGAGCCATCAATTTTTCATTCCTAAATAAGCAAAGAAGAGGTATCTTTTCAAAGCTCTCTGCCTAACACATAAACCTAACAAGCATTTACACCTGTAGAAAATGGAAATGCTTTAGGAGAGAATGCCAAATGTTTTGTTGCCTTCCTCCTTTCCAGAGCCACATGGAAGACTGGGATTTTCTGAAAGATGGCAAAGAATTGTCTTAGGCGGTTATTGCCAGAATGATGCTGCAAAACTCAGCAGCATACAACAACATTTATTCTCATGCCCAGTAGTGGACTGGCTGATCCAAGTGTGTCTCACTTGAGAACTCTGCCTCAGGCTACGAGTTGAGCTTAGGTCTGCACCCCAATTTAAGGACTAGCAGAAACAAGAAAAGATATTTTTCTCTAACCCAGTATGTCAGAGAGAACCTAACACTCCTACATTCGTTTCTGGAAATTTTTTGCTTGTTTGTTTCTGAGACAGAGTTTTGGTCTTGTCACCCAGGCTGGAGTGCAAGGGTGATCTCCAATCACTGCAACCTCCGCCTCCTGGGTTCAGCAATTCTCCTGCCTCACCCTCCCAAGTAGCTGGGACTACAGGCATGTGCCACCATGCCTGGCTAATTTTGTATTTTTAGTACAGATGGGATTTTCCCATGTTGGCCAGGCTGGTCTCGAACTCCCGACTTCAAGGGATCCACCCGCCT